CAAGTATTGACTGAGAGGTCAGGCAGAATTTTAAGAACTGACCATTAGATAACCAATGATCGTAATCTCTTACTACTTGATTTACCAATCAAATAACCTTATTAATGTCAAGTATTAACTTAATTTAAACTTAAGAGGTGAGGCAGAATTTTAAGAACTGACCATTAGATAACCAATGAATAGTAATAATTAAAACTTTGTGCAGTATTAAAAAAACTTTGATCGTAATACAGTACTACTTGGTTGGTATCAAATAACCTTATGGAAAAAATAAGGAATTGTTTTCAATGATTTTTCAACATCTTTTCGATCTTCCTTGTTTTTTGTTGACAAAATATGATCCAATATCCTACAAAAAGTTTTTTACATTTAATTTTCATTCACATCTCTTGTTTTGTGCTTTCTAATACATAATAAATTGTTTCTGAAAGTTATTTATTTATCCCAAAAATTAATCACAGATTGATATAAAACAACACTTTTCCTAATTTTTAAATTTGAAATTGTAAAAAAGGGATTTTTATTAAGCTTAATTTTATTTAAGCAAAAAGGTTGCTTGCAAGAAATTATGAAAATAAATGTATTCTGAGATATTGAATTCAATTAAGCAATTATTTAATTTCTTCCACTTACAGAAATTGTGAACTAAAATCATTCCCAATAAAGTATTAGCAATAAAAATAAATATTAGTTTACAAAATTCTGAAAGTATTTTGTGTAAGTGGAATGATTTTAGTTCACAATTTCATTTGATATATAAATGATTTGATATTTTTCGTTTCGATTTAAATTAATAAAATAAACTAAGCTATTATTATTATTATTATTATTATTATTATTATTATTATTATTATTTCATTTATGTTATTATTATTATTATTATTATTACTATTATTATTATTATTATTATGAAAAATTTATCAAAAGTAAAAGCAATTACACAAATACTTTTTTGAATATTTAAATAAAATCAATCAGTTTATGAAAAATATATCAGTTTAATAAATGTAAAAATACTTTTTCAGTATTATATTCTTTTAAAATTAATACTTAATGAATTCTGTAAAAATTTAATCTTGGCTTTTGCTTGCTAAAGTCTGACTTGATTATATTTATTACAAGCAAAGTGACAAACTCATTGATTGATACGTGATCACTGATTGAAGAATATTTAATTTTAGTAAAAAGTCGTTGCCAATAATAAAAGCATCCATGAAGAGGTAATTCCTTCACTGCTCTTACGGACAACCGACGTAGTTCATCACGCCAACGCTGAAACTTTTTTTCACCCTTATTATATTATTTAATTCATAGCAACTTTACAATTATTTTATATAGCAATTATTAGACGTATAAATACTGCAAATTAATAAAAAAATAACTTAAATAATATTATATGCACAAACATGAAATATAACAAACAAATTATGTATGCAAAACGTATCGTGCATATAATTGAAATAATATTTTAAGGGATAAAATTATTATGATAACGATAACGATGAAAAAAACTAATGATTTATCGTTATCATAATTACATATTACAAATTTTAATAACAACAAATCCATAAAGAGTACTATGGGAATATTCAGGTTAAATCGGTGGAAAAATTTCAAATTTAATTAAAATGGAATAATTGAAGAAGCACCGACAGCTTTTAAAAATTTTGTACTTATACTATGAATCAGTATGAAGATTATAATACTTATTCTTCATGTATTAAAATTAATCAGATCTGTGCAAGTTAATTCCAACTTAATTTAAATATTTGTATTCATAAAAATTTGCAGCATTAAAAAGCTAAGTAATTTTTTGTACTATTTAGCAAATTCTTAGTAATTTATTGATTGCTAAATTTGAGATATAAAAGTGAGTTTTTACTTAAAACATTTTTGAATTTAAATTTTGATATATTTTAAATTGAACGTACAATAGCTGCGCTTTCAGAAAAAATTACAAATGTGACTGGAATTGGTGAAACACAATCTGTACCATGCATTACAGTCAGAAACTGTACACATGCAATTCCTGTATAAGAATCACCGAGTAATTTCCTGAGCTGGGTACTAACCTGAAAAATGATTCTTAAAAATACAATTTAGACCAAAGACTTGATCTGTAAATTTAAAATTAATCGACTTTTAATTTAATTTACAAGCAATGTGATTACTGATCACAAATTTGAGTTCATAGTTCGTGCATACTTTGTTTTAAAAAATAATAATTTTCATAAAAGTTCATTTTGAATATTATAATTACTGTTGCACAAAAAAATTAATGATTATTTAATTGATTTACAGATGCTAGAATATCAAAAAAAGTTTTCACTCATTATAAATTAATAAGTTTCATTTTTCACGGGTTTAGATCAATGATTTAGATTAATGAATCATTAATGAGCTATTCATTTTATAAAAAAAA